TCCAAAAGGTGCAGCTCTTGTATTTCTTTCAGTCACACCATGTGGTTTGTAAGTTCTAGATAGAGAAACAAGCAATCAAAATAGGTCATGTTAGTATTTACATTATGACAGTACAGATTAGGCTGTTCGGAGTACAGATAACTGTGGTTGAGTGAACACAAGATTGGTTTCTGTTTGCGTGGTGATAGGACAAGACCAATATATTTAACTCTGTTTCAAAACCTAATGAGCTTGGAGGCAGTATTTAAGTCAAAATATGGCAAGATTTACTAACAGGGAACTGTGATAACCTGCTCTTGCTGTTAAAAAAACTTTTATCTGGATTTACTAAAGACATTAAGTGAGGCCTTTGCATTGAAAAGGCATGGAGAGCCAAAGTTAATGGGATAAAATTATTGGTTTTAAACATCAGGATTTACAATGATTTGTGGTACAGTGATCTGTTTGTCTTATTGTGCGAAATGTTTTATGAAAAACAGCTTAAGTTAATCAAAAGTTTCATACCTAACATTTCAATAAAAGTTTATAAAAACACAGATTTACAGAAGTCTGTCGATAACAGGAAAATTCATCTATTTATGCAGCTAAAAAAAATTTTAACACTCTCAAACCGCTGTATCTGTGAGCTTTAAAGTGATAGTTCTCCCCTAAATGAAAATTCTGTGATCATTTACTCACCCTTCACTTGTTTAAAAACCTGTTTGACCATTCCTCTGTTGAACACAAAAGAAGATATTTTGAAGAAAGATGGAAACCTGTAACCGTTGACTTTCAAAGTATTTGTTTTTCCTACTATGTAAGTCAATAGTTTTCAGCTTTTTTCACAATATATTTTGCATTTAACAGAATAAAAAAAACAAAAAAAGATCTGGAGGGCTAACGTGGTGGCGCAGTGGGTAGCACGATCAGCTCACAGCAAGAAGGTTGCTGGTGTTGAGCCTCAGCACTTGGGTCACTTGGCATTTCTGTTTGAAGTTTGCATGTTCTTCCCGTGCTGGCGTGGATTTCCACCAGGTGCTCCGGTTTGGTCCAAAGACATGCACTTTAGGTGAATTAGGTATGCTAAAATTGACCCTAGTGTGTGTGTGTGTGTGTGTGTGTGTGTGTGTGTGTGTGTTTGTGAATGAGTGTGTATCCCAGTGAGGGATTGCAGCTGGAAAGGCATCCGCTGCGTAAAACATATGCTGGATAAGTTGGTGGTTCATTCCCCTGTGGCAACCCCAGGTTAATAAGGGACTAAGCAAATAAAGAAAAAATATCCAGAGAGCTTGTTGATGCCTGAGGTCAGAGGAGAATGGCCAGACTGGTTAGTGCTGATAGAAAGGTAACAGTAACTCAAATAATCACTCGTCACAACCGAGGTCTGAACGCACAACATGTCAAACCTTATGGAAGATGGGCTACAGGCTCACCAAAATTGGACAATGGACGATTGGAAAAATGTTGCCTGATGAGTCTCAATTTCTGCCGCCACATTCAGGTAGTAGAGTCAGAATTTGGCATCAACAACATGAACACAATGATTCATCCTGCCTCGTATCAAGGGTTCAGGCTGGTGGTGGTGTGGGGGATATTTTCTTGGCACACTTTGGGCTCATTTGTACCAATTGAGCATCGTGTCAACGCCACAGCCGACCTGCACTGTAAAAAAATAAATCCGTAAAATTTACGGTAAAAAAACGGCAGCTGTGGTTGCCAGTACTTTACCGTTAAAAACACGGTACAAACCGTAAAAGTAATTTCTCATTTTTACGGTAAACTACCGTATTTTATTAATTTATAGAGGTAATATGTCTGTATTTTGAATGACCAACATCTACACATCTTTTGTTACACAGTTAGACACGTTAGCACACCCACATGCAGGTGGTGTTGAGGAAGTAACATAATGAGCCAATGCTCATCACAATCAACTTTTCCCACAAGCAGAAAAGAGTATCAGCATATAGAAGGTGCTCAGTGTCATTCACCAGTATGGTAACACGCATCAAATTAAAGTCATGAAATAAACATTGTTTATCAACATTAGATGTAACATAAATCTCTAATGTACATAACTGATAGGGAAACAACTAAAAAGATCCATATTAATGTCAACAAATTCTGGGAAATTCAATTTACAGTTATTCGCTGTATATATTAAGGAAACATACCGTTAACCAGTTTACGGATTTGTACTGTAGCATTTTAACAGTTCTTTACCGTTGAAATCACGGCCATTTTTTACAAGTATTGTTTCTGACCATGTCCATCGTTTTATGACCACAGTGTACCCATCTTCTGATGGCTACTTCCAACAGGATAACGCGCCATGTCATAAAGCGCAAATCATCTCAGACTGGTTTCCTGAACATGACAATGAGTTCACTGTACTCAAATGGCCTCCACAGTCACCAGATCTCAATCCAATTGAGCACCTTAGGGTGATCTGGTGGAACAGGAGATTAGCATCAGGGATGTGCAGCCGACAAATTGCCGAACTGTATGATGCTATCATGTCAATATGGACCAAAATATCTGAGGAATATTTCCAGCACCTTGTTGAATCTATGCCACAACAGATTAAGGCAGTCCTAAAGGCAAAATGGGGTCCAACTCGATACTAGTAAGGTGTACACATGTACTATATTATTTTATTCCCTTGCCATCATGTAATCATGTCAAAATATACTGAAATCAGTTGACTCACATCTCCCTGTGTATGTTTTTTGTGGTTTTATTTGTAGTGTTCTGCTTACAGAGTCTTTCAAATCAAGTCATCTGTGAATTTTATGCAGGTTTGGTTGATGCCTGTGTGGGCAGTAGGTTTGTGAGCAGGTTGTATCTGGATTGTACAGCTGTGAGCAACATAAGACCGCTTTTTTACTTCATAATTTTAAAGCCAAATTGTTTCCAAATGCTTGTTTTTCAGTTGGGCTATCACACCGTACTCATTTTCTGTTCCATCATGACACAGTTAGAAAATACAGCCACCCACATTCACAGTAATAACATGTTCTGTTTGGTTTTTTATGTATCACTGAACAGAAAAGTGTCCTTAATGGAGTCATTCTGTGTAATATTGTTTGCCTGACATGCAGCGCTTTACTTCCTGGAAAAAGATTCTCTGTGTGTTTTTTCCACTTGTGAGTAATGTTTTATTATGCGGATAGACAGGTCAAAGGGTTAGTTCACCACAGAAATGAAAAATTCATTATTTTCACATCCTCATGTCATTCTAAACCTATTTTTGTACATTTTCAGAACAGAACTGTTTCATGCTTTTAGCTTCAGACATTAGAGTGAATAGACTTTTAATTAAAGCATCTTCATTAGTGTTACAAAGAACATATTGTCTTAAAGAAACACATATCCTTATATATCCTATATATATCCTTAATGTTTTAATTCTTTTTCATATGTAAAGATATTTGAGTATTGCTGTACATCCTGTCTGTATTAAGCAGTGTGTAAGCTAGGTGCACAACTAACGCCCTCTGCGCTGGACTTTAGACCGGCTTTGTTCTGGTCTATTGAACAATCTCTTATAGTTTCTCAAAATAGCAACACACCAGCAATGCGCCTCAGCACGCCTCCTTTTTTAGACCAGAACGCCTATGAGCTCACATATGGGCACAAATGCATTTGCCATTTAAACAGTTCAACACTCTTGCGCCAAACTAGCAAACAACAATTGCGTCGCAACCGTGTTGCGCCAGGTGTATGATAGGGCCCTATGTCTTGAGCATCTGATTTTCCCTCTGTGCTGATGTGCTTTAATTTTCTCTGGCAGTTTCAGACAAGGGAGTATTATTTGAGCAACCCTGACAGGAACATATACATTTAGATTTCTAATAAAAAAATTCACATTATAAAACAAAAGAAACATAACTTTGACAACAGCAGATCCTATCAATGTCGTAACGAACGCCCTTAAATAACGTAGCTTAGTTGACAGCAAGCATCAGTGTTTACTGAGATTGAAATATTTTTTTAATTAAAATTGAGATAAGAAATATTGTTTATAGCAACACTTGTGACAGTTTGGGTGGAGTAATGCAGCTTGTTGAAGCATTTCCTTTGCTGAAGCCTATAGGCAGCAGCACGCTCGTCGTAGATGTCACAGGATGATTGATCGTGACGCAATGTGTAGTCTAGCACATTTGTTACCCATGACAAGTCAAGATTTTATCAAGAAAAAATCTGACATAGTGACTTTTGTAGCTGGCAATAAAAATCATGTGATCTGACCTGGGCTTACATACGATCATACGTAACCTGAGTATTTAACTGAAAACAGTTTTCAGTTTTCAGATTTTAATTTTAGATTACAGGCGAGGCAGTGGCGCAGTAGGTTGTGCTGACGCCTCACAGCAAGGTGGTTGCTGGGTCGAACCTCAGCTCAGTTGGCGTTTCTGTGAGGAGTTTGCATGTTTCCCCTGCCTTCGCGTGGGTTTCCTCCGGGTGCTCCGGTTTCCCCCACAGTCCAAAGACATGCGGTACAGGTGAATTGGGTTGGCTAAATTGTCCGTAGTGTATGAGTGTGTGTGTGAATTTGTGTGTGGATGTTTCCCTGAGATGGGTTGCGGCTGGAAGGGCGTCCGCTGCGTAAAAATTTGCTTCATAAGTTGGCAGTTCATTCCGCTGTGGCTACCCCGGATTAATAAAGGGACTATGCAGACAAGAAAATTAATGAATGAATGAATTTTAGATTACAATGGCAAACCATTTATTTATTTATTTATTTTTGGTGACATGCACAGATGAACTGTTCAACACAAAACTACCAATGTGAGCTAACACTTGTTTAGGTTTAATTCATTTGTACTTGAAGTCCTAAAACTCTCCAAGTGAGTGTAAAAACTTTTATTTTTTATTTTTTTGCAAATTAAGGGATTTTTATTCAGCATTTGTTCCATTACTCATTTCTCATGCAATACCATCTGGTTATAAGTAACATTATTGGAAGGTTTTACAGTGTACTGCTGCAACATTGTTGCAATTCTGTTCTTCTCTCGTAGAGGTACTCTGGGCTCCCTGAGGCTGCATCTCCGGCTTCGAGACGAGGTTGTGTTGCCATCCAGCCATTACAAGCCACTCACAGAGCTACTCAGCCAGTCGGTCGGCTCTCAGCTCAACGTGAGTCTGATGCCATTTGGACTGAGCCTTATCTCAGGGAATATGCCTCTGTATTATCTCCTAAATTCACAAGGCATATTCCACGGAACAAGATAACAAGGCATAATTTGGTGCACGGATTGCGAAATGCACTACTCATTGTTATCTGATCTCATTTGTATGCATGTGGTGAATTCTCTACTCATGCCTGCTTGTGTTAAAGGGACAGTTCACCTAAAAATAACAATCTCATAACATTCTTTTAGTTTGTTGTTATGCTGTGGAGCATAGAAAGTGTAATTCTGTACACCCTCAGAAATTACAATACAATTCTGTCATGGTGGTAAATTTTTAAGGGTTAATAATGGGACATTAAGTGAATTTTGCCAAATGATGTTGATATTTGCAAGCAGCAAAACAAACACACACTGTAAAACATGCTGGGTTTCACACATTCCATAATTCAGTCATGTTGTGTAAACACAAATTCGTTAAGTTGACGTAACAAATTTAGGTGGATTGGACACAAAACAATTAGGTTTCCCAATAATATCTCCAGAATTGTGTTGTTTCAGCTCATTTTAAATGCGTAGTTTGAACAAGCAGCAAAAATCATGTCTATCCTTAATAGGATTTGTGTATATACATTACATTAGTGAATACCAAAGCCAAATTTGGAACTAATCTAACAAAATAATTGAAGATTATGGTGCAAAAATCTGTACACCCCATTGAATATGTTAAGGAACATATATAATATTAAATAAAAAATTTAAAGGGCACCTATTTTACCCCTTTTTTTTAAATTTAAGACACGTCTTTTGTGTCTCCAGAATGTGTCTGTAAAGTTTCAGCTCAAAACATCCATTAGATTATTTATTATACTTTTAAGAATGTGGGAAATGTGAGCTGTTAGGACATTGTAGCTGTTTTTATTGCCTGTGCCTTTAATGCAAATGAGCTAGTTCTCCCCGCCCACTGTTCTCACTTGCATCAGAGTCATAGATATCTCCTTTCCTATTGCTGTAACGGGTGTAGCCTTCACCTGCTGCATCACACGTAGATAAACAGCACATTGACAGACAAGAATGACGCAGATCTCCCTTACTACAGTACGAACTTTCCCAATGGTTATTTGATGTATTTGTTGTGGAGTTAATTTAAGCCTTTCTGCAATAATGAGACGCACACAATGTCCTTATAAAGTTTGCGGGCACACACACGCATGCATACATAGGTTTAACTTGGCACTGTTTTTGCATGGCAAATGTTACAGGATACATGTTAATATACACTGCAGTATGGACATCCGTTACGTTAATGTGCAAAGTAAACCTGATTTAATGTCCACAAACCGGGATTGAAGCGTCTTCTTTTATAATTGTACTGACACTATGCAGCACTCCTACATCACACACACCCTCAAAACGGGAGGGATTTGGAACCTATTTTAATGTCAGGAAATGTAAAAAAAAAAAAAAAAAAAAAAAAAAAAATTTTTATTGTGTTTCTATCACTCCAGTATGACTTTGAACGCACTATACCTACACACAGTTCTGTCCACAACAGCTTACAAAAGATGATTTTCATCATAGATGCCCTTTAATTAATAGTAAAAATCAAGAGAACCAAAATGTTGACCACATTCCTAATTGAATCAATATAACTGTTTAATTAGTCATTTTTGTTTAAATGCACCAATTTATATTATTCAAACTCAATGAGAAGAGGATAGAAATATTCATTTTCAAAAGGAGGTGTTCTCATTTATGCCAAGCATGGTATTAGCAATGTAAATTGTACACATTATTATCTAAAAGTGTCATTTTGAACTGGTACCTTCCCAGTTGTACTTTTATTTTTGACAGTGTATTTTTCTGGCTGCTTGTTTTTGTACCTTTGTGTCATACAGGTTTTGAACAACACAAGCGTAAAATTATTAGTGACCGAATAAATGTTTTTGGGTGAACTGTCTTTTCAAATTGTTGCACAACAGAACATTTTAGTATGTTTGCTTGTAGGGCTGCACAATATTATGAAAAAACTTTCATTGCGATATTTAGATTTTCTACAATTTGTATTCTGATTTCAGCAGATAACTTAAATTGGTCTATTTGGAAAGAATTAACACTTTTAGATTGCACCAAATACAATAACCAAAATACAAATATAGATAAATACAGTGAAGGAGATTAAGGGCTCTATTTTAACGATCTAAGCGCAAAGTCTGAAGCGCAGGGCGCAAGAGCATTAAGGGCATGTCTAAATCCACTTTTGCTATACTAAGGCAAAACATGCATTAAACCAATCAGAGTCTCATCTCCCATTCCCTTTAAATATAAGATGCGTCACACTGTGGTGCATTTGCTATTTACATGGCGTACTTTGTAAACTGAACACTTCACTAGCGAGAAAGCAATTAAACAGACCATCTGCAGTAAGGAAAAAGAGCAAGCTTCCTCCTTTAAGCCTCTTTACTTTCACTTTACTTTACTTTTACTCTTTACTCCTTTACCTTCATGGAGTAAGGAAAATGGTGGAAACCGCTAAATACATCCATTAGCCTACATATTAAATTTTATTTGTTAAGTGCAAACATTTGTTTCAAAACTATTTCTAAATTCAGATCTAATTTCCTGCGAACAAATAAATTTACAATAATAACAAAGTTATAGATATATAACGAAGAGTTATATCCAAACACACATCTTATTCTTATGCCTCATATGGTGATGTATACATTTCCAAAACCCGACAGATAGACAAACCTAAACTTGTTTTTATTAAAACAAATATAAATATGTATATAATAAATAATACTAATAATAATAATAACATTATACAAATGCAAATTGTCATAAATAAACTGAAAAAAGCCACCCGAGATAAGGCATAGAGGCAGCGGTTTTTATAATTATGTAGAAAATAATAATTTTTGTAACATTTTAATCCTTTTTTTTTCATAAGTAGAGATATTTGTGTAATGCTGTCCATGTTGTGTGTATTAAGCAATGCGTAAGTGTCTGGACCTGCATAGGTTCATAACTAAGACATTCTGCGCGAGACTTTAGTGCAGCTTTTAATTGGTCAGTGGCACGGCCTATTTCAGTTCCACAAAATAGCAACGCGCCAACAATGCGCCGTTACACACCTCCTTTTCAGACCAGCACACCCATGAGTCCACAAATTGGGGCAAATGGGTTTGCTATTTAAACAACATGGTGCAAAATGTGAAAATGACAGTTGCGCTGGTCTTAAAACTACAACAAATCACGCCTTATTGCATCGGGTGTATGATAAGGCCCTAACAATATTCAGGTACAGAAATAAAACAATCAATAGTACAACAAAACTGTATATACTACACTGTATATATAAGTAAATACTATTAACATTTATTAAAGCTAAAAATGTAACAATTCCTAGTAACTCCCAAATGCTTTAAAGTTTACTTACTGTCACAGGCCTTAAAAACACACATACATAATCGGTAAACTTTCACTTTTTTATGGTTAAACTGAAATGGCTCCACAACTCGAATCCTGACTCTGCATTACAGATCCTGTGATGTGACTATTGTGGATTCACAGATTGTAATATCGATGCTGAAACGTTATATTGTGCAGGCCTACTTGCTGGAGTTAATGGTTTTAGCTCACAGTGTTGCATTATATATTAGAAGCTTAATTGTGTAAGCATAACCTCATTTGTGATCATAATGACTGTTAATTATAGGGAAACTGGCCTGATTTCATCATGCTGATTGATGAGACCACTACAGCGGAGAGCAGACAGGAAGTAGCTAATAATCTAGTAAAGCTGTTTTTGGGTCAAGGGCTTGTCAAGGAGTTCTTGGACGTTCTGTTCAAACTGGAGCTGGACAAGACTAGTAAGCAAAGATCTCTAATGTATTTGTGTGTGAAATATTGTTTTTCTTTTTGTATTTATTTCTCCATTACTTGCACTATGATGCTACGTACGTAATAATGCTACGTTTTGTTTTCATTTATCCTTTAGCTGAACCCAACACACTCTTCCGCAGTAATTCATTAGCATCTAAGTCTATGGAATCCTTTTTGAAGGTAAATATTAATCTGCAAGTTTAAAGATTGTGTTTATAAGGGGGCTCTTTAACATGTTCATGCTATGTAAAAAAAAAAAATCACATTTTTAAAAAACATATATTTTAGCTTGACACCACTGTTCCTGTTCTCCTAAAAATGGAAATCTGTAATGGGCTTTGACTGGTCAGTTGACAGAATCACACTGTAAAAAACATCCGCAAATTAGCAGTTTTCCATGCTTTGTGAATTACATTTAGATTTTTCCTGTTAATTTATGCTTTTAAATGATTTTATGGGGCCTTGATTTTTTTTTCCAACAACTTTTAACTTTGAAAAGTTTTTAAAAAAAAGTTCGAAGTAATAGATTGTCTCACTAAGAGTGTACTCATACTAGGCATGGTTGTCCCTCTGCCCCTCTGCCCACACTCACATTGTATTTTTTGCCTTCCGAGCCCGAGAACGCTGACGTCATTTATGTTGCGACTGTTCAGTTAAACAGAAGAGAAGTGCTCTCAAACCGTAGAGTGGAGATTGCTTTAGTTATATTGTTTTGTATAATTTTCATTCGTTTGGGATGCAGTGACACAGTCAAATTTTTTGCTGAATAGATCCATCACTTCTGACGCTCATAAATGTTCGTGAAAGTCATCGTGCTTTCGGATTAGACGGTAAACCGAGGTCCTGACTTTCTGTGGTCATTAAAAATCCCATGGTACTTCTAGTAAAGAGTAGGGGTATAACCCCGGTGTCCTGGCCAAACTCCCTCCATCAGCCCTTACAGATCATGGCCTCCCAATCATTCTGATCCACTGAATTGGCTGTATCACTGTCTCTCCACTCCACCAATAGCTGGCGTGTGGTGAGCGCACTGGCGCCGTTGTCATGTGGTTGCAGTCGCATCGTCAAAGTGGATGCTGCACACTGGTGGTGGGTTGGAGAGATTTTAAATTACAGAGAGATTCTTTAAATTAGAAAAAAATACAGTAAAATAAAGGTTAAATTACATAAATGTTCTGTAAAATAACAGTCATTAAATTACAGAAATTTACCGTAAAATAACAGACATGAAATCACAGAAATTTACCATAAAATAACAGACGTTAAATTACAGAAATTTACCGTAAAATAACAGACATGAAATCACAGAAATTTACCATAAAATAACAGACGTTAAATTACAGACATTTACCGTAAAATAACAGACATGAAATTACAGAAATTTACTATAAAATAACAGACATTAAATTACAGAAATTTACCGTAAAATAGTGGTAATTAAATTACAGATATTTATTGTAAAATAACAGATGGTAAATTACAGAAATGTACTGAAAATTAAAATGTAAGAAAGTATGGCCATTAGTTTACAGTAAATTTCTGTAATTTAACAGCTGTTATGTTTACATTTTTTTCGGCAGCTGGGGGAAAAATGTTTTTTTTTTTTTTGTACTTGCTTTAACATTGGGACCCTAACAACATAATTAACCCCTTTTAATGTGATCAGGTTTTACCAGATGTGCAGCATACAGATGTATATCAAAGCTTTTCGATTTGAAGAATGAAATCTAATTGATATTTCTTCTAGCATAAAATTGTCAAAGGGACCATCTATCATTTTGAAAAAAGATCAACATGATAAACATACACACATCACAACTAATAAGAGCAGGAACATGCATTAACAAAGGGAATGTGGTTAATTTGTGTTTCATGCTACATTTAACAGTCTACACTGGTTTAAACTTCCTGCTGTTTTATTATATTTTATTCCAGCAGTTTTCCTAATGTGATTATGCGCAATATTAAACAAAGGCACCTTTGTCTTCATTTTCTCCCGGCAGGTGGCTGGGATGCAGTATCTGCACCGGCTTCTGGGGCCCATAATAAACCGAATCTTTGAAGAGAAGAAATACGTAGAACTGGACCCCAGTAAAGTAGAACTGAAAGAAGCAGGGTAAGACAACCAAAATATGACTTTAAAGTTTGAAAGAGTACATTAGGGCTGAACAATACATCGTTTGAGCATCAATATGGCAATGTGTGTATCCGCAATAGTCACATTGCATGATTAGATTATTTATTAAACATTCAAATACAAGAAATATTATTTTTATATTATTGTATAAAATGATTACAATCATGACCATGTTATTTTACGTTTAATTGTTACATTTCTGTATTTGAATACTGTTAGACTCTCCAGAAAACCACAAGGCACTGTTTGTTTCAGTTTTATTTGTATTTATATATGATTGTAATTTATTATATTTAATGCAGATGAACTGCATAGAAAAAGACTTGATCATCCCCAGTCAATCTATATTATTGAAATATTATCAAATAGAGCTATAACTCATATGGAAACATTATTTTCACATCGCAATATACAGTTAAAGTCAAAATTATTAGCCCTTCTGTGAATTATTGTTTCTTTTTTTAAAATATTCCAGATGATGTTTAATACAGCAAGGAATTTTTCACAGTATTTTTGAAACTATTTTTCCTTCTGGAGAAAGTCTTATTGGTTTTGTTTTGGCTAGAATGAAAGCGGTTTTTATTTTTTTTTAAAACATTTTAAGGTCAATATCATTAGCCCCCTAAAGCAATATATATATTTTTGACTGTCTATTGAACTTACCACGGTAACAAAATATCTTCCATAATTACCCCAACTTGCTTAGTTAATATAATTAACCTACAGTAGTTAAGCCTTTAGGGCTCTATTTTGACGGTCCATGCGCAGAGCGCAAAACGCAAGGTGCAAATGCTTTCAGGGCGTGTCTGAGCGCATTTTTGCTAATTTACGGACGGGAAAATCCGCTTTGCGTCGTGGCGCATGGTCTAAAAGTGTTGAGTTTATTTTCTTAATGAGTTATAGGTGTGTTTTGAGAATAAACCAATTAGAGTCTCATCTCCCATTCCCTTTAAGACCCAGCTGCGTTGCGCCATAAGCGCATTCGCTATTTACAGGACGTAAAGTAAGTGTATGTGGAAAAACTGAGCATTTCACTAGCAAACAGTTAACAGTTTTTTTAACAGAAAACTGTTAAACAGAGCATCTACTGCGTGAGAATGAGAGATAATGCATCACTTTCGCTCTTGAAAAGGGAAACCTTTACGCCCAGACATCAATTAGTCTATAAATAATTAATTTAGTTTTTTAAGCGCAAATATTTGTTTCAAAACTATTTCTAAATTCAGTTCTAATTTCCAGCAAATGAATAAATGAACAACAATAACGAAGTGTGTTCAAAAACCTGAGTTATATCCTAAAACATGCAGTGCCCCATATGGTCTAAAACCTGACAGGTGGGCAAATCTAAGCTTGTTTTTAATAAAACAAATATAAATATGGATATAATAAATAATACTGCTAATAATAATAACATTATACAAAAGCGAATTGTTATGAATGAACTGAAAAAGCCTCCCGAGATGAAGACATAAAAGCAGTGATTTTTCATATTTATGTAGGCTAGAAAATAATGTGTTTTGAAATATTTTAATTATTTTATATTTATATCCTATATCTATTCTTATTATATCCTATATATTTCCTTAATATTGAATTTTTTTCATATGTAGAAATATTTGCCTATTGCTCTCTTGTGCGTATTAAGTAGTGTGTAAGCGAGGGGCAACTCTGCGCTGGAGTTTAGACCGGGTTTGTTTTGGTCTAATGAAAAATCTATTAAAGTTTCTCAAAATAGCAACGCGCCAGCGGTCCGCCTCAGAATGCCTTCCTTTTTAGACCAGAACGCCTATGGGCGCACATCTGAGCGCAAATGCATTTGCTATTTAAACAGCGTAGCGCAGTGGTCACCAAACTTGTTCCTGAAGGGCCGGTGTCCTGCACATTTTAGCTCCAACCCTAATCAAAAACACCTGAACAAGCTAATCAAGGTCTTGAAACATCCAGGTATACTTGAAACATCCAGGCAGGTGTGTTAAGGCAAGTTGGAGCTAAACCCTGCAGGAACACCGGCCGTGTATAGTAGGGCCCTTAATGTCACTTTAAGCTAAATAGTATCTTGAAAAACATCTAGTAAAATATAATTTACTGTCATCATGGAAGGAGTTATTAGAAATGTGTTGAAAAAGATTTTCTGTCCATTAAACAGAAATTAAAGGAAAAATACACAGGAGGGCTAATAATTCAGGAGGGCTAATAATGCTCACTTCAACTGCATATCGCAGCAAAACAAAATATCGCAATGCCAAATGTTTCCAATATAATGCTTTGTTGTTGTGGTATTATAGGTGTGCAGGTTTGCACCGTCAGCAGACAGAATCTGATGTTATTCAGCAGAGCTCCAGCCTCCTTCAGTCATACCTGTCTGAGCTTCTCACCTCCATCCTACAGTCTGCATCCTACTGCCCGCTGCTCATCTGCCAGGTTTTCCATCAGCTCTACCTGCGAGTGCAGGAGCGCTTCCCGGACCCAGAGTACCGGGTCAGTCACCTTCATTTTTACAGACCTTCTTTCTTCTTAAGGCCTGTAAAACCTGTCATTTTCACAGTGCTCTGTAAGAAAAATTGTGATTCATGTTATTATTCGTTTGTTCGTTTTTCCTGTTTATTTATACCTTGAAAAGTTCGAAAATGTGACTACTTTAATAGTTTAAAGTGATATATTGTCTGAGTTGGTATTGTATTATATGCTACAAAAACCTTGTACACCATACTACAAGTACATTTTCTGTTATTGTACAAAGTTATTTCTCTTAGTGACAATAATATAGAGTTTAGTACTTGTTTTAAACTCCTCACACAAGTGCTCATCAACATGAGTATTTATTGCTTTTTGTCCTGTTCAATAGTTTGTTGTTCTTTTGATTAGTTTCAGACTGTGAAACAATGGCGTTGTTGACACCTTGTGGACAAACTTGGTAGTGCACAATAATTCAAAGCATGTGTGAGCATTGTATGCCCACGTTGTCAAAGTATATCTTTGTGTAACTGTTGCAAAAACCGTTGCATTAAAATTTAAGTATAGTTTGGGCTTACAGTGAAGGAAATTAATTTATGCAAACTCAATAGTGTTTTTTTTCTCAATTGTGGGTCTTTTGTGCACCATTTTAAATGTAGACATTAAAGGGACAGTTCACAACAACCCTAAAAACAAATTCTGTCATAATTTGCTCACAGCTCATGTTGTAAATCTTGTAGGAGTTTCCTGCATCTGCATTTTTTTAATCCTGTTTTTGGTTTGTACAGTAAAAGTCGGTCGAGTCTTATCAGTGTTGCTGTTGAGCCCATTCGCTTTCAAAAAAACAAACAAAAATAAATTCTTCAAAATATCATGTTTTATATTCTGCAAATAAAAACATAGGTTTGATTGAATCAAACAGATCTTTAAAAAAATTTACTGTTTTTTGATTCATAAATAAATCCATGTTTTTGAAGAGTTTGGTTAACCAGTATGTGATCTGCCAAAATGATAACCGGTTGAAATTCCTGCTCCCTGTCAAGGACACCTGTTGGACTCTACAGGCTTACACACACTCACAACCACAGATAAACAATCACCGATCCCCTCATCCAAACGCCTTCGTGTGCTTTCACCCACTGGAGGGGGTAGGCGGTCTGCGACCGGCGCCTCCATGGCTGCAGGACCAGGCGGCTGCCAGCCCTCATCGGACGACATCCATATCCCCTGTTCCCATCCCATTTGTCAACGTTGTGTCTTGTCCGTGTGCTTTCTTGTGCTGAATTGGGCTGTTTTTCTCCCTGTCTCACTTTGCTCTAATCAAGAGCAAGGTTAGAGGGTGGTTTTTTTTGCGTTTCTGATGTATCTAACTTGCCTTTCTAAATGCTACCTCCTGTGACCCGTCTTCCCCTGATAATTGTGATGTTTGTGTACGGTTTGGGGGGAGGAGAGTTCAATTTCACTATGCGAAAGTGTATGTGACAAATAAAGGCCTGATTTGATTTGATTTGGTTAGCATGATATCTTTGAAATACAGTCCCTCCCCTGCAGTTTAAAGCCACGCCTACTGAAACACAAACACACACCTTAAAGATGACAGCAGACAACCCACTAGTTCATGTCATCCGCCATTTAGAAATCTAGTTAGTGGTTGGCTGAAGGCGTGCAGGAATTACACTTAATCTGCTTGTATTTTTCTTTCCTCAGAAGGTGAAGTTCATTGCTGTAACCAGCTTCCTCTGTCTGCGGTTCATCTCACCTGCCATCATGTCTCCAAAACTATTTCACCTACGAGAGAAACATGCCGATGCCCGTACCAGCCGTACACTCCTGCTACTTGCCAAAGTATGACCAATTGTTCCCGAAAACCATTGTTGTTGTGTATCCTGGTAACAGATAAGTTTCATACTACATTATATAGTTGTATTTGAGGATCAAAGTATGTCATTTGCATGTCCTGAGCTCTTATTATTTAGCTATGCCTAGATACATTCAGATTTTCATTCTATGGCACATTCAAAGTTTCATTACACGCTATTCACAAAACAAAAGAGGATAACAGATGATAATATGTTGTAATAACAACCACTATTTATGTAGGTCACACTTTCATCATAGATTATGACCTCCATCCATTATAGCAGTGTTTCCCTACCCTGTTTCTGAGGGTACACCCACAGTACACATTTTCAACCTCTCCCCAATCAAACACACCAGAATCAACTCATCAGAACGTAAGAAGAGACTCTAAAACCTGAAGTTAATGGGTTAGATAAGGGAGACATCCAAAATATGTACTGTTGGTGTGCCTCAGGAACAGGGTTGGAAAACACTGCATTACAGACTTCATTAAGGTTACCATATTCCCTTTGACCACCTCATGTATGTTTCCTCAGGCTGTGCAGACCATTGGGAACATGGACACTCTGGCCTGCTGCTCTAAAGAGCCGTGGATGGTGCGTTTGCAGCCTGCCATTCAGCAAGGCATCACCCAGCTCAAAGACTTCATCACCAGACTGGTCAACTGCCATGAGTCAGAGGGTGAGCTGCCCGAAATTAGTCAGTTGATGAAAAATTGAGTGGATCCCTGTGCATGGCTGGACACTCATTCCTACCTGTCAGATCCCATCAGTCTTTAGATAAACGAGCTCCACTTTTGAAATTTTCTTGTTGAAGCAGCAGGTTTAATTATGTAGTACACTCAAAAATGAACAGACCCGTGAAATGTCATGAAACCCTCCCTGAGTCAGCCGTGTTTCTTCACCCCCTGAGTTGAAAAGGTTTGGGCTGTTTCAGCTTTGATAATGTAAGTATGGAAAGAGTTAAGTGGTTGCATTCATAATAGTGCACAATGATTTGATCAAACTGTCTCTTTCTCATGACCAAAAGCAGAGAAATGTAAAAAGGAGTGTATTTTTAAGGCTTGGTTGTGTTTATGGGGTGCGAAGCAATCTGTGCTCATGCTTCAGTTGTAAAAAGTCACCTTATTTTTTTCACATATCGTACTTTAATTGTATACCGATACTCAGCTAATATGAAAACGACTGTAAGATTTCCTAGTTCCTCCGAAAGGTCCGCCCTTGAGAGCCTCTGATTGGTCAGCTAACATAATGTGCTGGGATTCGCGGATTGGCTCCATGTCACCAGGAGGTGTCACGGCCCTAATAGCAAAGGCTTTGCCGTTGTGTAAATACAGTCAGTCAGTGTAGCTGTTAGCCATATCAGTTTGAGCCTGAATCAGAAAGAAGATGAAGAGGACACAGCTGAACATCATGCCTGCTCTCTAAAATAAAATATGTCAAGTCGTCACCTTGGAATTATAAGGTTCTATCTGCGTTCTGAATTATTTAAAGATATTAAGCTTTAAAGTTTTTGCATTTCATAGCAAAGAGTATGTGTGTAGTGTTTGTTGTTTTTTTAACTAAAAAGTTTTAAAATGTAAACAGCTTGTAAAAAACATCTCATAATGTAAATAAGTTGTCATTAAATAAGAATATGTCAATAACTCAATTTTGACGAAAATGTCAGATAGAACCTTATAATTATAAGGCGACGAAGTGTCTTTCCTATATATTTGGGTTATAAGCATGTGTAAGTAATATAAAACATTCACATACATATCTTTTGCGAGTTCGTTATTTAAGATGTTGCTGCCGCTATGCAGGGAAAGCGGCTGCATATTGAGATACTTCAGTGCTGGTGAACATTGTGGTGGTTTACAGAGGTTTGATGGATAAATATGTATTTGTAGCTAAACCGATAACAGTGCCAAACGACATTTGCTGTTGTTTACATTCTTGCTTACGTCTTTGCTACAATATACTAGAACTGCACGATTAATCAAAAAAAGATTGCGATCTTGATTCGACGACCTAGACGATCTTAATCCAGCATTTCTACGATTCTGTTAATCATATTTTTATGTTCAGGAGAGAAGCAAAGGCAGCCGCACAAGTTTTCACGTTGTTTTACATACATTGCTCAGCAACGTGGACATCTCCAAATGGTGTTAAAAGTGTCACATACTGTATTTATAAGGTATATTTCACCCAAAACGGTCATTTCTATCTTCATGATGTATTCGGGTCCGCAAAATCCCATTTGACGTGAGCTGACAGAGAGGGCGGGCGCGTGCATGTAATTGATGTCTACTTTAGTGAACAGAACCTGCATAGGCTGTGAACAACAGGTAATAGAGTTGTAAATAACATTCAGTTCCCCTTCGGGGGGAACTTCAGCACTATAAGTGGATTTGATTTGTAAAATCCACGCATTGGGAGGTTCGGTTCAGAAGCTACTCGTCTGAAAGAGTATTGAACGGGCCAATTAAGAATGAATTGGCAGCGCAAGCCTGCGCAGGTGAGCGGCATAAGCAATCAACTGAGTATATAAGCTCACCTGGCGCCAGCAGACGCTATCCTTTTCGCTTCAGAGACTTTCTGATCGAGTCGATGAGGGTTCCTCCTGCTGTGACCAGCGATTCTGAGCGAACGAGAGCATTCTCCCGGTCCAGAGTGTGTACACGCAGTGGCAGACGGTCGAGCTGGGTTTCTCCCTTGCCTGGCGTTCTTTGGGTCCGGTCCTCCAGAGCGGTGCGTATAAAGTTGCAAACTTCACAGAAAGAGCAACACAGTCGTGCAGCACGTCCTTATCAGGACGGCGCTCCGACTGTGCGTTTCTGGATGCGGTGGTTTCCTGTCCTCGGATGATAGGCGCGGGCATTGCGTTACATGTCTGGGGGTCCAGCATGTTAATGCGCTGCTCGCGGGCAGTTCATGTCGTCATTGCGATGCCATGACTGTTGCGCAAGATCGCGGTTAGCCTTTGCAAAAGGGTGAACCACCCCAGTTGTCCCCTGCTCTGCAGCGGGCACTCGGGCAGATCTGAGGGTTTCAGCGAGAGATAATCCGTCGCCCACGGGCCCGCGGACCTCCCGCTCCTCTAAGCGCTCCATCCAAGCTTCGGGCGGGGGAAGCGATCCGTCTAACAGATGGTAGCCCTTACGCCCGATGACACCGGAGACCAGATGTCCACCGCGGCATCGGAGGGTGGGCTTTCATTGTCCGATGATGATCCAGACCCGCTCGCCCCCTTCGGGCTGGTGAGCGCTGTCACTACGGATCCTGAAACGGACATGTTAGCCGTGCTTTCCCGGGCTGCTTCGGCCGTGGGTTGGAGATGGTTTATCCCCCAGCTCCGCGGCCGGACCGACTAGAGGGGCGTTCCCTTCTTCCCGGAGGTGCACAGTAGGCTCACGCGGTCTTGTAAAGCACTTTTTTCTGCTCGTGCTGCGTGTTCCTCCACCCTAACCACTCTTGACGGTGAAACAGCCAGGGGGTATGTGGCGATTCCTCAGGTTGAGTGCGCGATGGCGGTAAATCCGCGCGGCGCCTCTTCTTGGCGGGTTCGCCTCGTCTCCCATCCAAAGCCTGTAAGTTATCTACCTCCCTCGGAGCTAGAGCTTACATAGCTGCGGGCCAGGCTGCTTCCGCCTTGCATGCGATAGCCACCTACCAGCGCTACCAAGCGCAGGCGCTGGCCGAGCTGCACGAGGGTGGGTCCAACCCAGGCTTACGAGCTTCGCACCGCCGCCGACTTAGCTCTTCGGACTACTGAGTCCGCTGCGTGTGCGTTGGGGAGGACGATGTCCACATTAGTGGTCCAGGAGCGCCACCCCTGGCTGATATGCGCAAAGTCGACAAAGTCCGCTTTCTTGACTTCCCCATATCCCCAGCCAGGTTCGGCGACACTGTCTGTGAATTCACCCAGGAATTCAAGGCGGTGAGAGAGCAGTTGATGGGTGATGTCTTATCGGCGGTCCGTAGCCCGCTCCGCCCGCCGTGCCATTCATACCTGCTCCTCGCCGAAGGCGCCCGCCTACGAGAGCTGCTCCGCCCCCGCACACGCCTCAGGCGAAGCGAGCGCGTCGGGCACCTCGGAAGCAGGCAGCCCCCCTGCCCAGAACGCCGCTAAGTCCGGCAACGGACCGCGAAGCGCCCCTGGGACAGGCCATCTGGAGAAGAGGGAACTTGCTCTTTCCCCGCTGGAGGGCGGGGCCCCATTTCCAACGGCACTTTTTACTGCCATGAAAACATTATGAAAGGGCACTTTTCACTTCCCCAGATGTGACAGCCCGAAATCTGCCAGTCTGGGACGCTATGCTTTCTAGCTTGCAGATTCGGTGCGTTTCGCCAGTGGCTCACGAGCGCTGGGAGGACGGTCTCCTTTCTCCCACCCCTCGAGCCTCCCCTCCGGAGCTCGGGTTTGGAGTGAGAGCAAATATCTCACCTCCAGCTTTTCCGTGGGACCCGCGAGCTTCCCGGATCAGCACACCCACTCCGCGCTGCCCCACTGCTGGTACGTCAGCGATTGTAGCGATGAGTCCATTAGCGAGAGCTCTGCCTGCCTGGTTAGCGCGGGCCAGCTCTTCGCGGTGGCTCATACGCACAATCAGACTCGGCTATGCGATTCAGTTCGCGAAACGGCCCCCCAAGTCACGGGTGTGTATTCACCAGGGTCAGCCCCCTGTCCGCCCCTGTCTTGCGAGAGGAGATTGCTGTCCTCCTGGCGAAGGATGCAATCGAGCCGCTCCCTCCAGCCGAGATGGAGAGCGGGTTTTACAGCCCACGCTTCATCGTGCCCAAAAAGAGCGGTGGGTCACGGCCAATCCTAGATCTGCGCGTTTTGAACCACTGCCTGCACAAGCTGCCGTTCAGAATGCTCACGCAGAAGCGCATCCTCCGGTGCGTTCGTCCTCTGGGTTGGTCTGCAGCATTAGACCTGATGGACGCGTATTTCCATGTCTCCACTCTTCCTCGCCACCGACAGTTTCTGCGGTTTGCGTTTGAAGGTCGAGCTTGGCAATACAAAGCCCTCCCCTTCGGGCTCTCTCTGTCTCCGCGGGTCCTCACCAAGCCCGCGGAGGGTGCCTCAGCGCCCCTTCGGCTCGCGGGCATCTGCATACTCAATTTCTTTACGACTGGCTGATTTTTGCCCTCTCTCGGAGCAGTTGATTATGCACAGAGACAAAGTGCTCTGGCACTTCCACCTGTGGGGGTTTCAGGTCAACCGAGAAAAGAGCAAACTCGCCCCCGTGCAGAGGATCTCTTCTCTCAGGCTGGAGCTGGACTCGGTCACCATGGCAGCGCGCCTCTCCGGAGAGCGCGCTCAGCTGATGCTGTACTGTCTGAGAGAGCTCGACAGTAAAATAGTGGTCCCACTGAAACTATTTCAGAGGCTCTTGGGGCATATGGCATTCGCAGCCGCTTCATGCCGCTCGGATTATTCTATATGAGACCACTTCAGCACTGGCTTCACGATCGAGTCCCCAGACGCGCATGGCACGCGCGCGCACACCGAGTCTCTGTTACTGCGCTGTGTGGCCGCGCCCTCAGCCCTTGGAGCGACCCCTCGTTCCTACAGGCCTGGGTGTCTCTAGAACAGGCGTCCAGTCTTGTTGTCGTTTCAGCAGACACTTCCAACACGGGCTGGGGGGCTGTGCGTTGCGGGCATGCGGCTGCGGACCTGTGGAAAGGTACCCAGTTGCATTGGCATATCGCCTGGAGCTGTTGGCAGTGTTCCTCGCTCTCCACCGTTTTTTTCCGGTGCTGGAGCGGCAACACGTGCTGGTCAGGACGGACAGTACGGCGGCGGTGGCGTATATCAGCCGTATAGGGGGTATGCGCTCTCGCCGCATGTCTCAGCTCGCCCGCCGTCTGCTCCTCTGGAGTCATCCGCGGCTGAAATCGCTGCACACCATTCATATTAAGGCAAGCTCAACCGTGCAGCCGATGCGCTCTCACGGCAGCCTTGCGTCCTGGAGAATGGAGACTCCACCCCGAGTCTGTTCAGCTGATATGGGCGCGATTCGGGGAAGCCCAGATCGATCTGTTGCTTCCCCCGAGATCGCTCATTGCTAGTTGTTCTTTCCCTGACCGAGTGCTCTCGGCACGGATGCACTGGCTTACAGCTGGCCTCGGGGCACGCGCAAATACGCGTTTCCCCCAGTGAGCCTGCTCGCGCAGTTACTGTGCAAGGTCAGGAAGAGGACGAGGAACAGGTTGCTGGTTGCGCCCCTCTGGCTCAACCGGACCTGGATGTCAGAGCTCTCCCTCGCGATAGCCCTCCCCTGGCAGTCCCTTCGAGAGAGCACCTACTCTCTCAGGGACAGGGCACCACCTGGCACCCTCGCCGATCTTTGAAGAGATTTTAGACGCGAGGAAGACTTAGGTAACCTCCGATTGCGGTGGCTAATACCGTCACTCGGGCTAGAGCCCCCTCCCCGAGCGCGCCTATGCCCTGACGTGGAGTCTATTCACTGAATGGTGTGTCTCTCGCTGAGAAGACCCCCGTAATTTGCCAGATCAGCGTTGTGCTTTCTTTACGCCGAGAGAAGCTGGAGAGCAGGCTGTCGCCCTCCACACTCAAGGTTACGTGGCTGCCATCTCCGCTCTCATAACGCGGTGGCTGGCAGCACCGTGGGAACGCATAACCTCATCATCCGGTTCCTCAGGGGCGTTAAGCGAATTAATCCATCCCGCCCCCTCTCATGCCCTCTTAGGATCTCGCCCTCGCTACACAAGCCGCGTCAGATCCCTTCGATCCTCGACTCAGTATCTTTCTGTCCCTGAAGACAGCTCTGCTGGTCGCGTTGATATCGATTAGAGGGTTGGGGACCCGGAGGCATTTTTCGGTCAGTGACTCGTGCCTGTAATTGGGCTGGCTTCTCTCACGTCCTGAGACCCCGCCCGCGATATGTGCCCAAGGTTCCTACCACTCCGTTTTAATACGAGGTAGTGAGCCTGCAAGCGCTGCCCTCGGAGGAGGCAGACCCAGCCCTTCTTTATTGTCCAGTTCGCGTTTTGCGTATTATCCGGACCGCACTCAGAGTTTAGATCATCTGAGCAGCTCTTCGTCTGTTATAACGGTCGGCAGCAGGGAAGTGCCGTACCGAAATAAGTTCCCACTAGATTGTGGATGCCTTTCTTTCACTATCAGAGCCGAGATAAGCCGCGTCCCCCGAGAGCGCGTGCGCACTCCACTCGGAGTTTCGCATCCTCTCGAGCGCGCGCACGCGGCGCCCCTCTAACAGACTTCTGTAGAGCTGCGGGCTGGGTGACACCCAACACATTTGCAAGGTTTTACAATCTGCGAGTGGAGCCGGTTTCCTCAAGGGTATTAGGTAACCCTTGGTGATTGAGGAAACAATTCGGTAGGGTGTTGAAACACGCTTGCTGCGCCATTTTCCCTAACATGGAGATACGTGCGCCTTTTTATCTGTCAGTAAAGTTCCCCGTCAGGTGAGCCCTGCAGATTCCTCCGTGGCCCCCAGCACTGACTCAGCGGAGGAGTCACTTGCTGGCCCACTACGTTGTAGGTCTGCCCGCTGGTCAGCCCGCGTTTTGGGTAAAGGTGCCTGCTATGCGTGGTCCCCACTAGGCGATCCCATATGCTTATTCAGCCACGGTTAAGTCCCCCCCCCTGGGCGGACCCGTGTCTTCCCTCCCCGCTAACCACTCTTTTGCTATGCGTACTCCCCCTTTTTAGGGCTAGTCCATATGTAAATTCTGCCATCTATCCCCCCTTGGGTAACGGATGGCCTCCGCAGCGTCCTCCCTATCGGGATTGCACGCTTCCCAACGTACTGTCGTATTTTCCTAGAATTATCTAGATGCTCACGACTTCCCAAAAATATATATAAATCCGTAAAACTTCTGTTGAAGTAGGATAAATTAGGGCCAGGGACACGTTGGAGGACCGCGCCCCCCATGATGCAGTGCGTCACGCTTGCTTGACTATCTCCTCATCGGGGGTGTTGGTAAGGTGCAGTCATTATGGCGCTTTCAATGGGCTCCCAATGCGTGGATTTTACAAATCAAATCCACTTATAGTGCTGAAGTTCCCCCCGAAGGGGAACGTTCGAGGTTACTAAAGTAACCCTTCGTTCCCCGAGGAGGGGAACGGAAGCACTATACTCCGTCGCCATAATGACTGTCCCTTAGCTGTTGAAAGTCTTTTCAGCTTAAAAAGGATAGCGTCTGCTGGCGCCAGGTGAGCTTATATACTCAGTTGATTGCTTATGCCGCTCACCTGCGCAGGCTTGCGCTGCCAATTCATTCTTAATTGGCCCGTTCAATACTCTTTCAGACGAGTAGCTTCTGAACCGAACCTCCCAATGCGTGGATTTTACAAATCAAATCCACTTATAGTGCTTCCGTTCCCCTCCTCGGGGAACGAAGGGTTACTTTAGTAACCTCGAACGTTTGTTGCACAAATCGATCGTTTGGGAGCCGCGCTGGAAGTATGAACCGCACTTAGCAGTGAAAATGAAACCGAAAGCGAGCACATCATTTAAATGATCATATCGCATTTTACAGTAATGATTATGACTAGCATTTAACATGTTTTTCTTTTATAGCGAACACAAAGTGTTGTGCATGAAATAAATGTTTAACAGTGTCAGTATAACTACTCGAGCCTATATAATGTTGAATATATTGCAAGAGGGGATCTGTTAATGATACATGTCTGATTTTGCCAGTAGAAAAAATGGTCTAATAATGTTGTCAATGACAGATTGATCTCAAACATAATAGTTCTAATTAAGTCTATTCAAAATTGAGCATTTTAACCAACAGTAGACCTCCATATATTATTATTGTTGTTTTTCCATATGTTTGAAAAATAAAAATAAGAATGGCCGACTCATCAACCTTTATTTTACATCTACAGAATCGTGAGAAAATCATGATCTTGGTTTTAAGCAAAAGAATAGCAATTCTTATTTTAGCCAGAATCATGCAGCTCTAGGATATACTGTTAACGCTAATAACTGTGCATGTAATAGATTAAGTTTAGCAAATAAAAACACTTACAGGTTGTGTCTTACAATCCACAGCTTCGTCTATTATGTTTGGAGCTGCTCCTTCTTTGAGGAGTTTTTAGCCGAATTCAGTACTGAACTGGGAGAGATTCTGGAAGCTGTCCTTTGTCAAATGCTAGAGCTGTATATTTTTTATAATTCTCTGGAACATAATTAAAATTAAACTGTAATCACTTCTCTCTTTATGTCCTTTTTAAGCCCAAATACAGAAACAGAACAATCTCTGTGGAAATAGCAGCGTTTGAATGACATTTTAGCTTTCTCTGCTATAACATTACAGGCCACGCCCCTTTGCTGTGCAGGGTGTGTCCGCATGGTGAATGCATGTAATCTTAAGCGTTTGTGATCTCACTAGCCCGGATGTATTTTTTTGTAGTGCCTAAACTTTGTTCGTTGTAGGCTTTGCTAACTCTGTAAAAGTCAATGTCTCCCTTGAACTGAGCGTCTTACATTCAGAGATGTTGTTTATGTTCACACAGCTACATTACACATCAACTAAAGTTTAAATTGTCTTAGCAGACCACCCCTTTAAAACGGTGTGCTCTCCAGCATACACATCCTGTTTCATGACATAGCTTAAATTGTGCTTTTTAAATTGGAAGAACAATCTGTTAACATGCTTAAAAATGTGTTCTATGGTAACTCTTTAAGGCAGCGGTTCTCAATCCCATTCCCTACACATTTCGTATTTCGTCAGACGTTCAATTTAACAATAAGTGCCCTGCAAAGGATATTGCACTATGATTATAAGGAGCAGTGACACCAGTTTAAAGGGATCATGCTTCATCCAAATGAAATGACATTTTAGTGTATGATATGGACCCATTTTATAAGACTCTTTTTATATTCGTGGGTTTCTCAGTAGCGGAAGTCATCATAGTTGGAAAAACTTGGAGCTCAGTGAATGGGAGAGTACGACAAATCATTTTTTACACTCCTGTATCACAATTTGCTGAAACGAATAAAGAAAAACTCCACAATGGTGTTGGCAAGACTTTCAGAAAAAGAAAACAAATAGTGTGAGACTGACAACGGCAGCCAGAAAAGAGAACAAGGTCAAATTTACTGTCCTGCTCCTAGACGCTGTATTAGAAATGCCTCCCACAAGCGATAATTAGTTTTTTTGTAATTTGATAGATTTTTAAGACCGTTAATTGCTTCATAATAGTCTTGTGAAAAGGGTTCATTGTATTTCTTTTTTTTTAATGGAAGTATATTAAGTCACACTTCACGCTTCTCCAGTCTTCAAATAATCACTTATCTTGCTGTTTCTTGTGTTTACTTTATTTTGAATCCAGATCTTGAACTTCAGACACGAATGAGCCTCCAGTGCGGCACTATGGAGAAAGAGGGTTTTCTCTTCCTGCACAGGACCAAGGACAAGTGTATGCCAATGACTTCTCCCTTTAAGAAGTACTATGTGACGCTCAGTAAGGACACGCTGTCTTATTCCAGGACTCTGCACTCTAAGGTGGGCAGCAGTAATGGCTTGTTTTTTTTTGTTTTTTTTTTCATCAAATATATATATTTTCAGCAACAAGCTGCAAGGAAACAACTAACATGTACAGTACATACAGAGAGATATGTTGCATATGGTTGTACATGAATGTCATGGGATTTTTTCGTTGCTATAATTTACTGTTGTATCTTATGAATACCTGTTTTAAAGGCTAGATTTATTAGTATACTTTTGTCCAAGACCTAGACTTTCTTTCTTTAAACTGACAAAAACCCATGAATATTTTTTGATTATATGTATTTTTAAACTGACTTGTTGTTTTTGTATTATTTAAAGATGTCTGTAGTTTTAATTTTTTTATATTTTTATATATATATTTCTAATAACTGATTTATTTTACCTTCGTCATGATGACAGTAAATAATATTTTACTTGATATTATTCAAGACACTTCTATACAGCTTAAAGTGACATTTAAAGGCCTAACTAGGTTAATAAGGTGAACTAAGCAGGTTAGGGTAATCAGGCAAGTTATTCCATAATGATGGTTTGTTTTGTTCACAATCGAAAAATCTTAAAGGGGCTAATAATTTTGTCCCAAAAATAGTTTTTAAAAAATTAAAAACTGCTTTTATTCTATTAATTTATTCTAAGAAAAAATATTATCAAACATACTGTAAAAATTTCCTTGCTCTGTCAAACATCATTTGGGAAATATTTAAAAAGAAAAAAAAAAAATCAAAAGGGGGCTAATAATTCTGACTTCAACTGTATGTATATATATATATATATATTATATTATTCCATATTATATTAATGTATTACTTTCTCAATAGTTTAATTGTAGGTTTAGATTAATGTTTAATAACTTTGTAAAAATTTTTTTAAATAGGTTTAATTTTCTGTTGTTTATTATTTCCAGCTACACATTCTAGCACTTCAGCATAGTTTTGCTATCATAAAGATTACTTTTTAATTGTATGAAGATTTTTGCAATATCTTTGCCCTAAACCCTGACGCTCTATCTGAAAAATATTCTATTATGTATTTTTTCAAGATAAACAGTGACAGTGTTTACCACCGTTGTTTTAGTATTATTTATGTGATTATTATATATTTTATTCATATTTTTAGAATATAGATCCTTTAACAGGGGTCCCTAAACTCTTCTAGAATAAATAAATAAATAAATAAATAAATAAATAAAGTTTCTAGAAATAAAGTAAGAGCTTAATTAGCTAGCCTATGTGTGTCTAATTAGGGTTGGAACTAAACTTTGCAGGACACCGGCCCTTCATGACTGAGTTTGGGCACCCCTGTTATATAGAATCTATTTATTAAATATACAGATGAAGTCAGAATTATTAGCCCCCCTGTTTATTTTTCCCCCCAATTTTTTTGTTTAAGAGAGAGAAGATTTTTTTTTAACACATTTCTAAACATAATAGTCTTAATAACTTATTTCTAATAACTGATTTATTTTATCTTTGCCATGATGACAGTAAATAATATTTCACTACACATATTAAACACTTCTATACAACTTAAAGTTACATTAAAAGGTTTAATTAGGTTAATTAGGTTAACTAGGCAGGATACGGTAATTAGGCAAGTCATTGTAAAATGATGGTTTGTTCTGTAGACTATCGAATATATATATATATATATATATATATATATATATATATATATATATATATATATATATATATATATATATATATATCTTAAAGGGGCTGATGATTTTGACCTTAAAATGGTTTTTAAAAAATTTAAAACTGCTTTTATTCTAGCCAAAATAAAACAAATAAGACTTTCTCCAGAAGAAAAATTATTATCAGACATACTGTGAAAATGTCCTTGCTCTGTAATACATCATTTGGGAATAATTCAAAAAAAGGAAAAAGAAAATCAAAAGGGGGCCAATAATTCTGACCTCAACTGTATATATATTTTTAATAATTAAAAATATTGAATATTATGTTGATAAAAACCCTTAAAGCTATATTAACCGGGCGTTTGGTCTTTGACTCTATAGAAGAGCTCATCTATTTCCCTGCCAAAGATCCGTGCGGTAGAGAAGGTGGAGGAGAAGTGTTTCGGCAGTGCCAACGTCATGCAGATCATCTCCAGTGAAGACTCAGGCCAGCAGGAGACCCTATACCTCGACTGCAAAGTTAGTGCTTCACTCCATATACAAACAAATCCTCAATGAGGCTTTTCATAGGCACTGATTCTCAGACACTTGTTTGTTGTTTGGCGAGACTGTAAGAATGGGGCCTGAAAAAGCTAAAAGGGCTTATTTGATGTTTCATTGTTTAAAACTCTTTGTCTGCAGAGTGTAAATGAGTTGAATCACTGGCTGTCGGCTCTCAGAAAAGCCTGCAGTCACAACACAAACACTATGAGCTGCTTTCATCCCGGCATCTACAAAGCAGACAGATGGAGCTGCTGCCATCAGAAGGAGAAATCAGGTACTGCAAAATATTACACTGTGTTTTAGCTAGTATTGAGCTAATGTTTTTTTCCGTAGGCTGCATTTATATTATATATATATATATATATATATATATATATATATATATATATATATATATATATATATATATATATATATATATATATATATATACAGCACAATTTTAATATAATTTAAAATGATATTCCTATTTTAATGTATTTTAAATGTACAGTGCTCATCATAAATGTGTACACCCCATTTTAATATCCTTTCTCGGAAAATTTAGGCAATAAATGTTGTGTGTTTAAACAAAACTGATTTATTAAAGAGATATTTTTATTAGGGCTGTCAAATAATTAAAAAAATTAACATAATTAATCACACTTTTTTATTATTAATCATGATTAATTACAAAACGTAACTATTATTAAATGTATTAACTATTAAATTTAAGTGGATTATACATATATAAAACAATTAGGATATCCAAAAAAGCCTCAGGAATTGTGTCGATTCAGCTCATTTTCAATAAGTAGTTTGAAGAAGCAGCAAAAATAATTTGAGTGTATATATACTTTTTCAGATTGGCACATTTAACCTGGTAAATCTGGTTTTGGCACTTGTGATGTTGATATAATTAGTTGATTTGAAGTTTGTAATATTATGATTATCCCAATAATTGGTTGGTTTACGATTTTAAGTGGTGTAATGTAGAGTGCTCAAAATGGGGGCAGCCACTTTTGCACTTTAAAAAAAAGTGTCTTTACTGACTGAACTCTTTGTTCGTAGACCCCGGCTGTGATAAAACCCGACATGGAGTGACTCTGCAGGAATGGTACGACCCACTGGACCCAGATCTGGAGGCTCAGCTCATCTATCAGCATCTCAGCAGCGTCCAGCATGCCATGCGGTAAGTGAGAAACAATCTACGATGTACCATTCAATTTTTTGCAAACAATACACAGCTGATTTGATCTCGGTGGAATCAGAATGACCATTACACCTTGGCGTGTACATTATTTTCGAATAATTCAAAAGACTGTTGTCAGTTATTCTAGATCAGAGATGCCCAGAGTCGGGCCTTCAGGACAAAGTTGGCTAATTGTAACCTTTGATTTGGCCCACCATCCCATCTGAGAAGAAAGTGAAAAGGATGGAGAGGGTTGGGGCGAATGCCTTTAAACGAGAACGCATTTCTAATTCGATGTAACGTTTTTTGTTTGTTTTATTGCTGAACTACAAAAAAAGCTAACTAAAATCAAATGTTTCAATTAAATGTAAATGAATCCGATTTTTAAAAATGTAAACAATGTCACTCGACGGTGTCATGGTCACCAGCGATCCAACCTGTGGAGAGATCACTGGTAAACACAGATCACATAGAACTACAAATTTGCCATTTATGAACTACAATTCCAGTCATGCATCACACACACACTCACACCGGTTCCTGATCCTGACTGATGGCAAACACAAAGCTGAAGCTGCTCATGGACTGATTTCAGGGCTATATACGCAGAACACAAACACACAGACTTTGCTTAGTTATGTTGAACTGTGAGTGAACATTACAACGTGTTTTCCTTTGTCTTGCTTTGTTTTTGACCCTCGCTATGTTGTGTTTGTTTTCGTTGTATGCTGCCTGCCTTTTTTGACCATCTGCCTGTTATTTTGACTATGACTCTGAATTGCCCTTTTACATCTGTTTGCTCCTGTGTTGACTGTTGCTTGCTTGAACATTCTCTGTTCAATAAAGACTCTGCATTCGGATCCGCACCTCTGTTCTCAAGGTCACTTCACGTTACAGATGAATAGAAGACAATGCAAAAAACATAGATGAGCAAATCAAGGCAAAAACTAGTGTAACTGCATTATGTTTTAAATGGGATGTGTTCATGTTTTAACTGTAATAAGTTCATTATAAAATGTTTTTAAAATGATGTATGGATAATATAAAGCAATGCTTTCCAGTTATTTTTAAATATTATTTCAAAACTTCACATTTAGGTATTGCTTGATAATATAGCAGGGGGGATGGGGTGGATGGGGGGTTTCTACAGAAAACAAAGATAGGGAGTACTTATAAACAGGCTACTTATAGTGAGTTTATAATAATCTGATTGGCTTACTAATGATTACAGATCAAAGACCAGCTGCGATCATTCATATCACATGCTCCTCTCGAAATTAGTTTGTGAAACTTCACTAAATAAATTAGAAAATCGACCATAACTATATTTACCTTCAGCCCACCTCAATCAAGGTTGGTGTAATAAAGTTAGATGGCCGCCTGGCCAACGGGAATAAGGAGGCGGAGAACCGACAAACCGACAAAAAAAGGTCCTCTCTCGTCTAGCTCTGGCATCTCTCCTCATTTAAGCTTCCAGGGCTCTTTCGTGAGACTTGAGGCAGGTGATGTGTCCAGGTGTCTTAGATTATATCACTCATGCCACCTGCCTCGTACGCCATCATGGCTCTCAGCCCCACCCTATTCACCACAGTTTGTTTTTGGCCCTTCTAAAGAAAAAGTTTTTGCACCCCTGCTTTAGATATACAACGATCACCTCATCTAAAGACGTTGTCCAGATGTTTTAAAAACATTTGTCAGGTTTTTCAACAACTTTTGAGCTTGAAAAGTTTGAAAAAGTGGCTTTTACTCACATTTTAATAGTTGAAGTGCTATATCGTCTGGGTTGGTAAAGAAACCTTGTAACAAACAAGCTACATTTTGTCATTTTACAGACTTATTCCTCTATAAACTATTTCATATACATTTATATTTTTTCAAACTATTAACATGTCAATAAAAGTCACTTTGTTAAATTGCAGAGTTGAAATTTCAACATCAAAAGTCAACAGAGCTGAGATCAACATCCCATAATACAATTCACAACCGTAAATAAAAGGAAAACACTTGTGAATCACAAAATACGGAACAGTTAATTAACTGAATTTTTTAACAATGCAGGCTGTCAAATCATGCAACACAGAGTGATATGGAAACATCAGGAACTGCTTTAGCAATGTGTTTATCTGAAAATATATGCCCAGTTGAGTATGTTCATCAGCCAGTCAGAATCAAAATGTCTTATAGTGACATTAGGTGACATTAACACACTAAATTGTGCATCCAATTATTCATAAATATAATAATAATATTAGAATTTAATTATACACAGTAGTTGAACATGTTTAAATTGGTTTTGTATTACTTCTTTGTATATGTTTTTCTCGAATGTATGTCAGTGTAAGTCTAGAAGTGCTAAAATGGTGTTTTGTGCTTTCTTTTGGCAGAGATAAGTATTATAAGTTGCGAGAGCAGCAAGGAATTCAGGAGGCAGATTCAGGAAGAGGTGAGCGACTCTCCGCTTTGTTTTCTTCAATGTTGGTTTCATTAACATAATTTAAAACTATTAAAAAAACTTTTTTAGTAACAGAAACATTTTTTAATAATATTTTATATATAATGTCAGTCAAAAGTTTTTAATAGTAATAACAAAAATCAATTACATATTTATATGTTTTTGAAAGACATTGCTTATGCTCACAAATGCTCACAAATGGAAAAAGGTAATTATATAATATAATATAATATGATATAATATAATAGAATAGAATAGAATAGAATAGAATAGAATAGAATAGAATGGAATAGAATAGAATTATAAAAATGCAATAAAAAAGTATTATTGTGAAATATGACTTTGTAATGTTTTAATATATTTAATGTTAAAATATATTTTATACATTTACTCCAGATATCAGTATCACATGATCCTTCAGAAATACCCACATTTTGTTATTTACTGCTCAGTTATTATCTTTTATTAATAAGGGTTCTTAATATTCTGTTTTTTTGGAAACCATCATTTTTTTTCAAGAATTCTTTTAGTATTTTTTATACTTAACAACTTATGTAATTTTACTCTTTAAAATATAATATAATATATTATAATATAATATAACATAATATAATATAATATAATATAATATAATATAATATAATATAATATAATATAATATAATATAATATAATATAATATAATATAATATAATATAGCAATAGCAGTGTGTTATGGCTGTATATTACCACTGGTGAAAGGCATGCTTTGGCTCGAGGCCGCAAGTGTCTCAACAGTGAAGATATACAGCCGTATACGTTATACAGATATTATGCGTTTATACAACAGTTCGACGACATAATCGTGTATATCACGAAAATCCTTTTCTACGAAAACTACTTTGTTTCACCGTTCATTAACATCTGCAGCTGACCATCAGAACAGCAGAAACCGTTGCTACTTCACAAACGTTACTTTAGAGCTAGTGTTTGAATAATTCTCTAGCGTTATATCTAAGGTTGATGACAAAACAAGTGATAAGGCTGAACGACATGAAATGCCATCCATCTACAGAGATTTCCCAATATTTTTATAATACACCCCGAAAACGTCAAAGCAAGATTACTATGGTATAAATACAGCACTACAACATACAAAAGAGACAGAGCGAATTTCTGTCACTCACCTGTTATATAATCATTTGTTCAGCTGTACAAAATGCTGTTTTTCCTCCTCTAAGGACTTATTATCCGGTCTCTGTCACCATCTTGTGACGGAATCGTCTTTGCTCTGCTCAGTGCCAAGCTGATATCCACTGGTGCGCTAAATCTCCGAAATTCTTAATATTTAAAATAGGCACCATCCTTACAACTACATTCTCGACTAAAAAAGCCTCAAAAGTACATTATGTTTTACAACAGCTGCAATATTTGTCAAACTGTAGTGAGTCTATTGGTCTGCTGTCACTCTATGTGGGCGGAGTAATACAGGAGGGTGAAGAGGCTGTAAGAGTGCTGCTATTACAGAATATCTATATAATGTAATATTGTTGCATTCTCGCTGAATAAAAGCGTTAAATAATAATTTGATTTATTTAACAGACTTCCAACGAAACCTCTGGTAGATTATCACATTTTCAACAAACATAATGCGCAGCAAAAAAAATGTCTTCAACATATTTCTAGAAAGAAAATCATATTTTAATGATTTTTGAAGGCTCAAGTCATTATAATAACTAAGAAAAAAATAACAAAATGTCAAAACTACTAAAAACCTTAACCATTGTAACCTTATATAACTTAGTATTTTCTCAGGTAAACACACTTTATCATTAATAAATGTTGATAAATGCTCAAATAATACCTTAATAACACTGCTTTCTTTATTTTCACTGATGTCTTCATTTCAATGTAATATTTAACCAAAGTCCACATTAAAGCACCACTAACACCAATTCTTATTTTTAAGATTACTTGTGTTGTGTTGACATAAATATGATGCTTAGTCTTGTCAATCAATATGAACCATAATTTTGATCTTTCAGACCAGAAGAAATCTGACGGAGTTTCACAACTCTTCGACATTCTCCAAGACCTTCACGAAGCTCATACTGCGGTGGAGGAAGAGGAAAGATCGAAGAATAAAAACGTTTTTCTGGAACTACAAACGTAAACGAAAGGACGCTGGTTTGTAATGAATTTCACGTCATTCACAGTGTTATTCCGTCACTGAGTGGCTTCAAAAACATGCTCTTGTTACGACACAGACCAGAAAAGAAAGCTGAAAATGCTAAAAAGATTGCTTTGTTCTTGTATACTAGAACAGATGTTTGTTTTTTAGATGGATAGTTAGAGGAATGCAGTCATGAGTAAGGATAGTTGTGGTGTTTTCGCTGTGTGTTTGGCATTAAGGTAAGATGGAATATGGCATTAACTTACTGCATTGATTCAAATGGGTTCATTTTATTTGAAGGAATTTCAGATCTAATGGTTTGAATCACCATTCTTCCTTCATGTGCTTTTAACTTTAAAAAGAAATACTTAGGATTTGCATGTCAGCTCTTCCTCTGTGTATTTTTATTGTTGTTATTATTATTATTAAGTCAGTTTTATTTGAATATTTATATACACAGGATTGGTGGGGAAATGTTTGGAATAATTAGGATTTTTTCGTGCATTTGAAAGATTTTAGGGTCAACTTATTTAATTAATAAGACATTACAGTTTTTCTCAGTTGCTTGGGTTTTCACTTCAGATTGGCATTTCTTATTGATTTAAGCAAATTGCAAATGCTTTGGCTCACGTGTGCAAACAGTGGGTACAATTGTCTGTAGTTTGGACAAAAACAAATTGAATATGGCCTGTTGATCAAAACTGATGAGTCGATTCTCATTTAAACTTCTCACAACTTCTCAATCTTTTTTCATCACACTCAAAACTGCTTATTCAATTATCAAACAATAGTACACACATTTACACCATAAATATCTGATATTAACATTGTTTATATTGTCTTCTGAATTGGTAAATGACCTCTAATTGCAATACACTTCGAGTCAACTATTATCCATCAAATCTGGGAGAATATAGCAGTCAACATTTGAAGTGGATCAAAATGTTTCATCGAAGTTGTCCAAAAACTATTCAGCAACACCCATTCTTGTCTAACAGTAGGACAATTTTATCCACTTCAGTTGTTGACTAATGTATATGTATACAATCACAATCACTACCTTTTTTTTTTGGAAAACTTCCACAATCCTGAACTGCAGCATAATGCTTATGGAAGAGCAATTTAAAGACTTGTTTGGCCTGACCAGCAAGAGTGACAGGGTGTCCACCAAGAATATTTTTTCATTGATGTTTATTTTGTAGTATTTTTGTGTATTTGTGCTGACATTAGAAATATAAAATGTACAATACAGTAATTGGACCAGCATTACATGTGAGACATTCTTACAAAAATAAATGTAATGTATAAATAGTGAGTGAGTGAGTGAGTGAGTGAGTGAGTGAGTGAGTGAGTGAGTGAGTGAGTGAGTGAGTGAGTGAGTGAGTGAGAGAGAGTGAGTGAGTGAGAGAGAGAGAGTGAGTGAGGGAGTGAGAGTGAGTGAGTGAGTGAGTGAGTGAGTGAGTGAGTGAGTGAGTTTGTTTGTTTGTTTGTTTGTTTATTTGTTAAATTTATTTGTCCCCGTGGGGAAATTTTATTTACAGCATACACTCAGACTCCTGACATTTCACATTTGGCATATATATATGTATATATATATATATATATATATATATATATATATATATATATATATATTGATTTCTTCAGATATCATTATATTATATTATATTATATTATTGATTTCTTCAGATATCATTATATTATTCAATGCAGTTTTATAATTAAATAAATAAAAGATCTATATTCCCATTTATCTTTTTAAAATAAATAATTATTTAATACTTTTATTCAACAATAAAACAATATTTTCATGTGACAGTAAAGAGTTTTTTTTTTATTTAAACATACTGAAATTTTAAAAAAATGGCATGATACATTTTTATTGTATTATATTCATCGTTTTTTTAACTTCTTTCAAACACATTAAACAGTCTGAATTATTCCAAATTTTTTGAATAGTTTATTAATGTTTATTTAATGTTTTTTTTTTTTCTGTAAATCAATAGCAGAATTACTTCATTGTTGGATCTGAATCCCACACAGATCTGCCATTCGCAGTCTCTCAATGCCTTTTCCACGCGCGTGTCTGTCATTTTGGATGGTTTGTTGTTTGTCTTTTTATGATATGTAATTGTTCAACATGTTTGCACTGTGCATTTCACTAAAATGTGTATTCCTGTCATTTTTTAAATGTGGAACATTACTTCTTTTTTTCCCCTTAAAGGTGATGATGGTTAGTATTTGTCCACTAGGTGGCATTAGAGTATTAATAATAATGAAAAAGCTGACCTCAGCCATCAATAACCGATTTAAATGATACTGCAGACTTTTACTACCTTTTAATAAATAGTACACACACTCCATCATTTTTTTTCTAAACACAAAAAGCATAAATGTAACTCGAAAATTATAATGGGACTATTTAAGTTGTTTTATATATCTTTAAACTGTTTGTTTTCTACCTCTGCTGTTTATCAGTTATTACAATTACATCTTAAAGCAACAGTTCACACAAAAATGCTCATTCGCTGTTCATTCACTCACCATCTAAAGTGTTGATGACTTTTCTTCTTAAGCAGAACATTAAAGATGATTTTAGTTGCAAATGTGGTCCTTGCTGATTCTTATAATCCATGTCAATGGCTGCCAGCACTTTGAGAGTGACAAAAACATACAGGCAAAACAAAATGAATACCTGTGGCTCCTGATAATGTCTTATGAGGTAAAATGGGTGCAAGATTTACATTTGATTCACATTCATAAGGTTTTTTTTTTTTTTTTGCTGTATGCATAAATATTTTATTTGAGTTCAATGTAAAAAAAATTATATGCATCTGGATTTATATATGTAGTCTTTTGAAGATTTATTTATTAAACATAAATCACTGAGCATGTGACCAGTTTGAATATATTATTTACTGATACATTTGGGCATGAGTATTACTTAATACAATGGTGCATCTGTATATTCATGCATTGGTTTGTCGTTATTAGTTTGAGACTGATATTTCGAGCATGTAATTATGAGATTGTTTTGTAAACATTTTTATTATTAACAGCTCCTGGCAGTTAAAGTGGTGCCTTATGTTTACAAGAAAGAATGTTCTTACTGTTTTACACTACATATTTCTCCTTTTTCCTCCACCTCTCTGTCAGCTTCTCTCGTTCTTTTCCTTCTTTTGAAGAAAACACAATATTGTGTTTCACTTCTGTATGCTTTTTTATTGAAGGTTTTTGTCATACAGCTACAGTTACATGCATGTATAGCATGCAAGGAGTCTTTTAGTTGTTATGAGGAATTTAAGAACTTACCAGCTGATTATTTGTTTCCACCTCGTCATGGAATTGGTTTGTTCTCTCCTAACAAAGTCCTACTTTTCTGACCCTGTTTTTAAAGATATTTTAGGCATGTTTTAATTTCCTCATGTTTGTGGAAGTATGTTCATGCAGCAATCAATCAATCAATCAATTCTAAAAATAAAAAAGACCTGAAAAGTATAAGAAATCTGCTTGCTTCTTTCTATTAACATTTTCTTGTATAGTGGGGACAGTTGCAACACGTTTTGCATTTTCTTTAGTTTCTTAAGTTTTATGTGGAAACCCAAAATTTTTATATAATAAACTCACATTTATTGAACACCCATCCACATTGTTACACTGTAATATCCAACATTCAACTTTATCAAATGAAATGAGTTTAGTTAACTCAAAATTTACTAAAAGTTAATTCTACTCATTTGAAAAGTGTTTTGAACTCAGCGTTGAAGGTAATGAGTTTATTAAATACCTCATTACTTCAACTTAAATGGAGGAAGTTCACAGTACTCATATAGATTAGTTGTTTAACTCAAATAGTTTGTTGCAATCAGTTTACTCAAACGATTTGTGTTTATTTATTTACTTTATTTATTTATACAGGGACAATGTACAACATGACATGTTGTGCCAGAGTTAGCTATAAAGCTAATTTACATCTGTAGTCCCTGGGCAGGAAGTAACAAATTGAACAGTTATAACAAATACAATATACACTTACAGTACAATAAATACAACACATCATTGTGTTGCCTTAACTTATTGGGTTTTACAGTACTCAGTTGGTTTGAGTTCTCTTTATTCTTTGGGTTTTACTGTGCTTAAATTCCTTTGTTTACTCAAATGGATTAAGTTCACAATACTCATTAGGATTAGTTTTTTAACTTAAATGGTTTGTTGCAATCAGTTTCCTCAAACGGTTTGTGTTACTTTAACTTTTTGGGCTTTACAGTGTATAATATGTATGTACTGTATAAATGAGAATATGTGCAGAATTTAAACTTGAACAGACAAAGTCAAATGTTGCAACAACCCACAGGGATAGTTGCAACATTCAATAAAATGCTTAAGTTATGTGTTGGCCATGGAAGAAATGCGATATGGGATAGCAAACACACAAAATATAGATTTTTTGTTAAAAATCTGGAACCCAATTATGTTTTATATCAGTAATCCTGACTTGTAACTCATTAGAGGTGGCATTGGAGCCCACACATTTCTCTGTAAACTATATATATTTTTATATTTAATTCATTATACTTTCTGGATGATACTGAATTATGTTGTGTCCGACTGTTTGTGTATTGTGAAATGGACTTTGTTCCTTTTTTTTTTACTTTTTGTTTGTTCTGTTTATGTTATTGTTTATTTCCTTAAGCTTTTCTTATTTTGATTTATAAAAAAAATAAGGTTATTAAAAAATGTTATAATAAAAAAAAATCTGAAACATCGGATTTTATTCAATTTTTGGATTTTCGGATTTTTATACAATTTTTATTTTTTGGTTAACAGACTAGATGTAAATTGCTTTAATTGTTAAATGTGTAAAATTGGCTGTATAAATAGACTATTAAAAGAACAAGCAACAACCAAATACATCAGGCCTAAAAAACTGAACAACAATTTTATTTACTGAAAATCTGGACAGAACCTTTACAAAACTACTTCTTTGAACTTTAATTAATCAAAGAATTAATTTCTTTATTAAATTAAACTGAAACTGTAATAAAACAAAAATTGTACATTGTTAATATGGCAAGCTTCAAAATACTGTTGTAATTGGGGACAGTTGCAACAGCATGTTTTACTTGTCTCAACTCTGGCAACCATAATCAAACTGTCTATACTGGGGAGATCCAATAGCTTTAACACTTGATAGCTATACATAATCAAAGCTGAAAACAGTGATTTAAACTATGTAAGTTAATAGTTTAAAATGATTATATACTAAAGGAATGGTCACATATGGCTGATTTCTCTAAGTAGAAACGAGGGTAATTGAGAATATGTGAAGAGTTCAGATGCAAAAAGTGCTGTCTGAAATTTCCATTGCAAATGAACATTTTTTCTCAGCCTCCTTTGCTTTTGTTGAGATATTTCCCTTCAAAGACCATGAAAGGGATTTATTCTTTGACATAAAAGTGTTATTACTAAGCCTACATTCAGGAGCCTAGAAAAATGTCCAGTTTAAAAGAAAATTTCAGACGCTATTTAGAGGTTTCTGCATCTAAACTCTTCATGTAGTATGAATATCATCGCTGTAGCTCAGTGATGCACAAACTAGGGCCTGAGGGACAAAGTTTGCCCATACTGCCTTTGATTTGGCCCGCCATCCCATCTGAGAGGAAAGGATGAATAATGGGGATGCTTCAATGTTTTATTGTTGAAAGCTAACTGAAGTTAAATGTTTTTGTTTTTTTTATTAAATGGCATAAATTAACCAGATTTTGTTTAAATGTACATACTGTCACCTGACAATGGATGATGAATGAGGTTGATGAAGAAAGACGGGGATGTTTCAACGTTAAGTGTATTCAGCATTGAACTCCACTGCTTTAGAAATGTGATTGTTTATGGTTTATTGCATTCAATTCTATTTTTAAAAAGTTATTCTGCATTAGTTTATATGATTTAATGTTTTCTATTTATTTTGAAAAATTATTCAATTAATAAGGAAGTTACATTAATCACATTAATTAGGCAACTTTAATTTAATATGGGTATATTTACCTTTGGCCCACGACTCTTAATGATGTTTGGTTTTGGCCCTTCACACTAAAAAGTTTGGGCATCCCTGCTCTTACTCATTCCTGAATGGAGGAATGAGTCTTGTTGCGACTGCTACCCCATGTTGCAACCGTCCCCACTCTCCCCTATTCATGTTAAAGCGTATATTGTAGTATTAAGTTTGTTTGCTTCAAGATTGAAAACATTAACGAATTTTGAATTAAAGAGTACATGATAATAATTTCCATTTTAAGCAGCTTAATGTCTGTCTGTGCCCGTGTCGTGAACAGCTCAGCTGGCCTTCAGCCGGTAATG